CTTCCTTCCTTCCTTCCTTCCTTCCTTCCTTCCTTCCTTCCTTCCTTCCTTCCTTCCTTCCTTCCTTTCTTTCTTTCTTTCTTTCTTTCTTTCTTTCTTTCTTTCTTTCTTTCTTTCTTTCTTTCTTTCTTTCTTTCTCATATTTCTTAACTGCCCATCTCCCCTAGAGCCATAAGACAGTCTTCTGTAGTGGCCATGGCTTTACATAAAGCATGGAGTCAGGGTAGCTGGGCTCCTGCTTGAGAAGGACCCAGTGCTATTTTATCTTGGATTGCAATTGTCGCGTCTTTTCTCTGAAGTAGCCGGAGCACTTAGACAGAGCATAGTAACTTTATATTTGTATGTTCACAGATCGTGGTAAAGTGGTTGGTGGTTTGCCGGATGTTGTGACCATAATGGAAGACAAGGTATGGATAAAACCCCTTGGTCAGCTTAGTTATTTTTGAATAGGAGCTTTTGGTGTATACAGCAAAAAGGGCCTCCTTTGAGAGCATTTGAGTAGTATGAACCCATTGGATTTTGAAGAAGCAGGATAGAAAGCATATGGATACTTTTAAATTTGGTATTGGAGAAAGCACCTGATAATACCATGGATAGCACAAAATAAATGATGATCGATAGATCGATAGATTGATAGATCGAGATGATAGATGAATCAGCAAACAAATCAACCAGAGCTCTCTCGAGGCACAAATGACATGGCTCAAATCATCATCAGACAAATCGTGAAAATCCACTTCTTGAAAGAGAAGATGATGATAACCAAGATGAATGAACTCAGTTATGGTACCAATGGGTATCCCATTGGAAGTCCCCAAAGAAATAGGTTGGGGACAGACTGTCTTGGAGAAAATCCATCTATGTGGTTACTGAGAATTTACGTTGACTCAATAGCACATTATCAACCAATCCATAGAAGATACATCCCATACAAGTCTATAATAGATGCTAACTGGCAGTTATATCTAATGCAAATTTATCTTTGAAGAATACGCTTGACCCTTTTGGTATTGCACCTAAGAGAAGAAGAAATTGTGAATAAATGCCCAAGTGATTTAATGAACTGCAACATGGAAACAAAAAGTGCACACAAAAATATGTCTTCAACCAGTGCCAGGGCAGAGTGAGGCTAATTTACAATGGCTTGGGCCTGAAATTAAATAAATAGAAGAAATTTTTCTCATCCTCTCTTGGATTCTCTTATATACCAGAAATCCCCAACCCCTGGTTCATGGCACTGGGCCGTGGCATATCAGCAACCAGACCACACAAAAAAGTGAAGCCCCATCCACGGAATTCAGGCAGCACACGAAACCATGGAAAAACCTCTGCACAAAACCGGTCCCTGATGCCCCAAAGATTGAGGGCCACTGTTATATACAATCTAAAATTCTTCCCCTCCCCTAAACCTCCCAGTAATACTTCCCATTGTCTAAAACCCCTGCATAATTTTTCTTTTTCTTTTTCTTTTAGACCCTGAATCTGACTTGCACCGTGTTTGGTAGTCCTGATCCTGAAGTGATATGGTTTAAGAATGACAGGGAACTTGAACTGAGCGATCATTACATAGCTAAACTGGAACAAGGGAAGCATGCCAGTTTGGTAATTAAGGGGGTGTCATCAGAAGATTCTGGAAAATACAGCATCAGTGTCAAGAACAAGTACGGGGGTGAGATAGTCGATGTCACCATCAGTGTGTATAAGCACGGGGAAGAGATACCTGACGTTAAACCTCACTCAAGTGATAGAGTAAGAGAGATACCTGCGAAACCAGCTGAATAATCATAACCGACAAGAAATATGTTGGAAAACGAGTGTGCTTGATGAACAAAAGGCTTGAGAGAAGCTGTAGTTTTGTTTGTGTAGTAGTTCTGCAAAAGAAAACTGGCGATGTTTAGGAGACAGTTATGTGTTGTTGTTTTTCTGAAGGCTGCATCTTGGTCTCTTTTTCTTATAATGCCAACTTATAATGCCATCGCAATTGGCAATGACATCACTCTGAATAGGAGTGTCCCACGGCTTGCCAGGAATAATTACGGCAGCTGTCACGAGCGTCTACGTATTTCGATCATGGTTCTTTCTATCCATGAAATGCAATGCTCTGTCATGCAAAGTGGAAACCGGGAACTGCTTAGCTATAGATCAGGAACCCCACTTTTTAATCTGAGCTGTGAACTCTTGTGGCTTTTTGTAAAACCCTGCTGAACTCAAAATGCTGCAGCGATGTCAACAAATCCAGGACAGCAGCTGCAAATAAATCAGAGGAACTGAACATGTGACCTTCTAAGTTATCCTTTGTGGCATTGCTGTTTTGTAGTGCAAGCAAATCTTTAGTCATACTTTACAATCACCATGGACTCATTTAAACCATAAGTTTCACAGTTGTTTGTCCCCCCCCTGCTTTGCACTAATAAAAATCTCCAAAAGTCACCTTGTGGTTTTCTCTCTGCACCAAATGACTCTTGACTTAGTTGCGTTTCCTCCCTTTGGCTGTTTAATTATGGTCTGCTGCCGTTTCACAGCTGGCAGAAGGCAGATCATGGACTCACAATAAAACAAGTGAATGATGGATACTCAGAGTCACTCCATTTTACTTAGCCACATTCTTTTCCTCTTTTTATAATATGGCCAACAAGAAGTTAGAACCTAGGAACTGGTACTTGGTAGCAGCCTAGGGTGATGCAGTATTTAGGCTAATTCTGCCAACTGCCAACAGTTTGATCCTGATTGGCTCAAGGTTGATTCAGCCTTCTATCCTTCTGCGGTGGATAAAATGAGGACCCAGATTGTTGACTGCTTAGAGAGGGATGTAAAGCACAATGAAGTGATAAGCTATTTCAGATGAACTCGAAATCACGCAGAAATAAAAAGTCTTGAAAGCATCACGGAAGTAAAACTACCTAAAACACAAATCAAGTCTAGAAAATCTTAAAGATAAAAAATAAAATAAAAAAGTCTAAGCTGCTGAAAGAAAAAAATGCAAAGGAGGCAGGAAGTGAATAGTTTTTCCTTGATAGGAAACATCTGAGGGGGGATATGTTGTGTAGCGTTCGCAATGGACTAATCCGAAGTCTTCACTCCGGTCCGTGTTTCTAGCGGGAACACAGACCGTTCCTATTGGCTGATGCCATTTGACAGCCGGCTATAAAAGGAGCTGTCAAACGGCATCAGCTGTTGCCCGCCAGCTGGCTGCCTTGTTAGCGCAGCTAACTTTATTGTGTCAATAAAGTTACAGCTGAAGTTTGCTCCGAGTTTTGCCTCAGGTTCTTTCCGCCGCTCTACAGCATGTTGGAAAACCCTCCTGAGAAGCAAGCCATTGTTTATCATGAGGAATTTGGGAGTAAAAATGTGGATTTAGGGCAACAGAACCAGGGGTGGGATTCTACCAGTTCGGACCAGTTCTATAGAACTGGTTGTTACGATTCTGCGCAGATCGGAGAACAAACACATCGTGACCCTGGCTGGCCCCACTCCTCTCCGTCCACCCCTCCCCTCCCTGTCTA